TATATATGTGTTACAGTAGATATAAATACATTTTTATTATAAATACATATTAGCAATATTTTAATTTATTTTATATTTTGTAATAGTAATAATGCTATTCCACCTTTGATACAATTGATGGTCGCTTTGAAATTTTATGCAAGTGCATGTTTCTGTTTATACTTTAATATCTTATTAAGAATTTAATGAACTTTTAAGCAATTTCGGATACAAGGCACGATATTGACGGCAAAGGAAGTGGTTAAGATCTGACAGCGAAACACGTCTATAGTTTATACAGTCGTCAAGTTGGCAATCATGTAACCGTCGGTTAGACTTAACCGAGGTTGGTGAAAGAGACCCTGAGTCTGATTTTCGGTCCCCCGGTCTTGGACAGTAAGAGGGGGTATGAGGGCAGTGCGGCGGGTCGGGTGCTCGGTCCCAGTAGAACAGCGAGGGGTTGCCCTGTCTGCGGTAGTATGTTCCACTTTTAATAAAAATAAAAAAATTTTAATCTGATCGCGATTTTTATAGGATCAGACGTAATACTAGTGGAGACTCACTGTTAGCGGCGATTGTCCTGACACTGGAAGGGTCCCTTGATCGGGTGGTACCTTGGCGACTTCGACTTGGTCGGTTTAGACTGAGTAGAGTGATGTGGCTGTGTAGTCACTTCACCGACAGTTATGGTACTCGCGAACTAAGGTTCGGACAATCGGTCTAAAGCTGCCGACTAACTAACGACTTCGAGATGCGTCTCAGACAATCGACTCGGTCTTACGACACGGACAATTGCCTTTGACGACTCGGAAAAACTGCGATGAACTGCCGCGAGCACCCAAAAATCGGGATTTTTATACCGATTCCCCCTGATTTGTCGGGCTCTGATGGGAGGAGGAATTTGTCGGTAAAACAAAGGGCTAAGTTTTCTAGCCCTAGGATTGATTGGGAGTTAGGATGCGTCTTGTGGGTGGGAAGGAGTTTGACCGATGTCACCGCTATCTTAAGATTTATGGCCTTATTTGTTTAATTTACGTGAGGGGCCGCATCGAGTAAATGCACGTGCACCCTTTCTCGCGAGGCTCGCCGTATGACAGATTTTAAATTTTACGAGCGCAACTTGTGAGAATCATCCACAATTTGACTGACAGTAGAGTGAATATTTATGGCTTTACTGTTTTCGGTGACAGTAGAGTGTATATTTATTAATTTTTCTAGCTGAGACTTCGAGGAAATGATTCGTGTTCTCACAATTCGTGCACGTACGCTCGTAAATGAATTGTCTTAAAATAATTTTTATGGCGGAATAGCGAGTACTTTTGTTTAGATTTTTGGTAAGACGACAGCCGGACTGTCGGTTATTTATTTATGGTCTCGCTATCTTGTCACTTGTAAACCTTTCCGGAAGAAAGAATCGTGAGAATCGTCTGGACGTAACAACTATTATGTATTATTTAATGTGCAAAACTTTCTTATTTTAATACACGCTTTACAAGCTTCTTTTTTAACCGACAACGTGCGTCGCTCTTCAACCGTCTATGCATCGCTCATGCCCTCTAGGACCATCATACAACAACTGCTTAATGCAATGGTAAAACGCTTTTGTCAAAAGAGCAGCTGCAACTTCTGTAGATATTAAAAGTTGATGTAGATAGATATGCAATTCCGCTTCCACATTTACAAGACTATGCATAAAAATAAACAAAATAAGGTAATTGAGGGGCTGGGTTCTATAAGGGGATACGCGTGGATTTCGCGGAATAAGTATTGTCCGCGGGGCTAATTTTGGACATCGCTCTAATTTCAATTTTGACGATTGATTCTTGTAGAAAATTACATAGCGCATCTTTTTGGTCTTTAAATCAAAGTAATTTTTTTTGTTTTCAAGTTATAAACAAAAAACATAATTTTTTTAATTAAAAAATTTCAATAGATTTTTGTGTTCAATTCGCCATATCTCAACCAAATATGAATATTTTTCTTTGAAATTTTAACAGAATAAACTTCGATGTTTCTCGAAATATAAAGCATATAATAACTTTTTGAAACATTTTAAAGCCAAATGCCGAATTTTTCAAAATATTTCTCTCGAATTCGTAGTTTTATTCATTCGATTACAAAAGTTATCGTACGAATTTTCGATTTGTCAACTTTTACCGGTACTACAATTTTGTTCATTAGTTAAAGAAGTTTTTTGGAAAGTTTTAGCTCTTCAAATATTATGGTTGTAAAGTAATAACGATTTATATGTCGATCCGATTACGTAGCGCTCTGCGCGAGTAGTATAGATGGGAGGGTTCTAGGCCAAGTTTGTTCTTTTTTCCGTAAGCACTTGATTTATGAACCAGGTTTACCAACATAAATTATAATGTGTTTAAGAACGCGAGGGGTATAAATTATAATACGTTTAGGAACTCTGTGGTGATGCCAGGGGATGACGTCACAGAGTGAGAGGGGTATGACGTCACGGAAGGGGAAGGGATGACGTCGAGGGGTATGACGTCACGGGAGGAGGAGGATGACTTAAGGGATGACGGGGAGGAAAATGACATCACAGGATGCTGACGCATTCGCGCGGGGTCCGCGTTGTCACCGCGGGGTCAATGGCTGCCAGGGTCCTCCAGACGCGGTAAGCTAACGCGCGCGATCCTACCCCGCCGGGAGGTCCGTCGGGCGCAGTCCTCCCCCACCGCGAGGTCCGTCGGGCGCGGTCCCTCCGGGCGCGGTCCGTCGTCGCCATCGCGCGCGGGCCGCCGCCGCCGCCGC